ATCTCTATCAAGCTTTTCTTATTGTGAGGCATCGCTGTGTAAAACATGACCATGGAGATTACTGATAGTCAGAGGCCGTCAAACAGGCTCGTCGCCATTCACCGGGTAATTCATTCACAAACGAGCATCGTTTGATTCAAAACAGCTCCCACACCAAGGCTACGCATGAGCATGTAAAGCGTTATACAAGCACAGGCCATTTACCATGAGAACATACTCCAACTCTTCTGTACTGTGGGACAGAGGAAAAGAAAGCCCAGTGTTTATCTTCTAACATTCTTGTTTATAATTTCCTAGAAAAAAAAAAAAAAAAAAACACTTGATGCACTTGTACTTTGGGGGAATTAAATATTGTGGCAAATTTTCACACAGACACACCTTAAATAGCTTTGGTAAATGTCTAAAATAAATATAGGATTTTAAAGTGATATTGAAAGGTAAAAAGGTTAAAAGTGATATCTGTTGTTTTTAAGTATTTATGTCCTTTTATATATATTTATGATCAATCTGTCTTTTAGTCCAACATTATTTAAGCCAACAAATCATGTCTTTCTCTATCACACATTTATGTAGTTTACATTTGTTCACAACCAGCAACCCTCCCGACCCCATTAAGGGACAAGGGTATACAGAAAATGGATGGATGGATGGATGGATGGATGGATGGATGGATGGATGGATGGATGGATGGGCATTTGTTCACATATTCAAACAATATTATTTAGGCGGTGGTTAAAAAAAAGAAAAACTTCATATGAGCATAAAAGTCCAAAGTCCTCAATGTTTTTCTTTATATTTCAATTTATAGATGGCACAAGTCCATAAGGGTTTGTGCACACTGCCCACAATGTGAGTCATGTGTACTGCATTTCCAGCTTACATCAGACTTTAATGACGCATGTTTAACTTTATTTTATTATTTGCAGCAGCTGTACAGTGGTGCAGTTGGTAGAGCTGTTGCCTTGCAGCAAGAAGGTTCTGGGTTCGATTCTTGGCCCCAGTCTTTCTGCATGGAGTTTGCATGTTCTGCATGTGTGGGTTTTCTCTGGGTACTCTGGTTTCCTCCCACAGTCCAAAGACATGACTGTCTAAATTGTTACTAGGTGTGTGCATGGTTGTGTGTCTCTGTGTTGCCCTGCGACAGACCGGACCCTGCCTCTCACCTGGAACGTTAGCTGGAGATAGCCACCAGCACCCCTCCTGACCCCACTAAGGGACAAGGGTGTAAGGAAAATAGATGGATTATTCACAGCTGAGCCAACATGGAGTTCTTGAACAGTAGATGTTACATACTAACCACAGCACATTAGGATTTTTCTAAGTAAACAGTTTGTCTAAATGTGATTATTTTTGTCAGTCTAAAGGCCATAAATATAGGTATTTACAATCAGTCTAGTGATGCAATCTATTTGTAGTCAAAAGCTTTAACTTCCTCTTCATCCAGGCATCAGAATCCGAGAGTTTACTTTTTCCTTCCTCTTCAAATGCTATTTTTTTTTTTGTTGCAGATAGTCCCATACATAAAGGCAATTATTTGCTGCTTTGCCCTCTCAAATGGTATGCATCAAATGTAATCGTCTTTCGGGTGAGAGCAAGCTCAGTTGTCATTGATATTTCATGTGCATGCAAGAATGCGCATGAAATATCAATGTGCATTCTTGCTCATTGATGTTTTCCCCAAGCCTATATAACTTTTAATATGACACACAAAAGGATTACATACTTATATTTGTTGCATTGCTTGGGTTGGGTATGAGGAATATCCTTACTCTGAAAATTTGTTTGACTGCTGCTACTTAAATAGAAGCAGATTTCTTCACTTTGGAGCTCACGTCCAAGTCAGTTCAAGTTATTTGGACTGCGTCGTGCCAAAAAACAAACATCTCAAAGCTCTTTACAAGACAAACAGATCCAGTGTCTAAGCAAAAATAAATGCTCAAGTATGTCCAATCATACAGATTCAAAATCAGTTACATACATTTTAAATATATTTGACTTATAAAAGAATGTAGTTATGCTATTTGCTAAATGTTTTCTATTGTACTTGTGAAAGATCTACACCTGATCGTAAGTGTTGCTCAATACTAAACTATTTATTAGCCCAGATGTTGCTTCAGTCATGTTAGAATGGGTATAATGCAAATAAATACCTAACTTTTAGTTTTGTACTATTATATTTAATCTCCCTTTGGGATTAATAAAGTATTTTTCTTTCCCTTGCAGTCGCATTTCTGGGAATTCACCTTCAGTGCACTAACATAGGCAAGTTTATTCTATCAAAGTCTGCAATAATGAAGAAATAATGACATAATTTGACCATATATAATGTAATCAGACCCTAGCCAGTGTGAAACATTTTCCACAACAAACTATTTTTTTTTTCCTTTAGTTAGAAATCATGAGAGAAGAGAAGACTGCTTCGGTTTTGGTACCTTCTAACCATTAGATTAAGATTCAAGGAAAAATCAATCTGATTGATACTAATCAGTTGAGTAATTGACTAAAAGGTAAAATATCAACTGCTTATGATCACATCATAGAGCCCTACATCTAAACACTATAGTTGCTGGAAGTTTGTTTCTGCTTCTGCACACAGCTTTAGCACATTTTCCAATTGGCAAACATGAAACAAAGTTTAGAAATATAAAATAGTTAGGAGTTAAAGGATGAGAGTAGCATTGAAAATCGAGGTTGGATCAACCTGTTTGTTTCAGATAAACAACAGATCCCTGTCATGTTATTGTTGCTTATTCTTAGAGCTGGCAGTGGTGGTTTTGGAGAGAAAGTCGGGACTCGGAAAGTTTGACTGAGCCGGACTTGGAGGCTGGTGTCTAATTGAAGTTGCTGAAACATGTGCCTTCATAGTTCAGTGCAGAAGACAAGTCTCTCATACAACATCTAACTTCTAAAAATAGCCAGCATAGATGCTTGGGAAAGGATGCATAATAGCCCGTCTACTCAGTGTGCCTTAAATGTCTTTGGATTTGCCTTCAGTAAAATAATTATTGTGTTAAGGGAACTTGAAAACACAAATAAACAAAACCAAGATGTCTTCTCTAAAAAAATCATTTCTGAAGTTGCTGTAGATTCCTTTTGTTTATAACAAAAAAAAAAAATAAAAAAAATAGCTCTCCGTAATGTGACTCTGTTACCAGATTTTACCCCCCAACAAGATATTTAATGCTGGCGCTCTACTTATACAGATGAACACACACACACACACACACACACACACACACACACACACACACACACACACACACACACACACACACACACACACACGGTTCTTTCCCAGACATTAGAGAGGCGGTTCTGAGGAAAAAAAGGGCATGATTGTTTACATAAGCCAGCTCAGAGTTATTTTTAATGTATTTTGGCCAAGAAATGACTTGAAAACTATTTAGAGTTTGAGGCTCTTTTCATAAAGAAAATAAATAACAGCATACAGATCTTGACATTCCAGACTGATTGTGGGAGAAAAACCACGTTGACGCGACAAAGATAAGGGGCCGCAATCAGGCGTTTGGACATGCGGCTGTGTTTTATCACAACTTAAGGTGAAAAGTGGAATACTGGAAAATCTCTCAGCCTTGCCAATTTCCTAATTGAAATGTGCTTACAAATAGGATGCAGGCCGGCAAAACTCCTCACAGTTCCAGATCCTACCTCATCACACATCCATTTTCAGAGCGAGAAAAGGCAAATTTCCATGTTGAAGCTCTTCATCCCCAACGAGACTAACCTATTTAGATATACATGGGAAATCCCTCCCTCTTCCAGGTTCCATCTGAGCATCGTTTTTGCTACAACTTGTCGATGAATCCCGATAAAGACGTTATCTGGAGGAAGCAGCACGGCCGTCCCTGCACCCACTGCCTGTGCGGCGGTTTGTGTGACATGCAGTCACCTTGTGTCTTAAAAGATTTCAGACGGCTGCTGATAACCCGGCAGCAGCACCTCGGCCCTACAGATAAAACCATCAGGCCTCAGCTTCACTCGCCACCTCCTGCAATGAGGTAAGAAGCTCCATTTAACAGAGAACGTGAAGGTACTGGAGATTCAGATAACGTTGAGTCACTTTGTTGTAGTATTTTATTCTTGGTGCTGTGTAGCTCCAATGAAATAAATTTAAAATCAAGGAGAGTGAAACCTACTGATAAACATTAGCCTCAGGACCCTGCGTGGTAATATAAACAAGTACACACACACATACACACACACAGGACATAAGGATGCCATACATTTAAGGTATGGCATCCTTAAATCTAAACTAATTACGAAGATGCAGGGAATTGGCTGAATGTTGCTAAACGAAACCCTATTAACAATAATGACGAAGAATTAAAATAAAGAAACATAAAATGGTCAAAGCAAATAATCATAATACAAGTAAGTACATGCTAGTTCTCTTTAAAGCACAATCCATCCTGATTAGAGGCTGTGAACATCCAAACAGAGTCAGTAATAATCACTGTTTTAACGCTCTGGCCACCTTAAAGTGATCTGGGATGATGCTCACAGTAAATTTGCAAATGATAGTAAAATCAATGCTGCAGCTTGCAATCAGCCAGTGGTCACATTGGGCTGCGGGATTAATATTCTGTATGGAACTGCGATCAGAGCTTTGTGACGATCACTCCAAAATGTTGATTTTGTTGTCTTAGAGCTAATTTGAAGCTAATATGTTAAGCTGTTGCTGTAATAATGTTTTTTTTCCTCACGATGCCATTTAATGTACCTGTCAGTTCAGGAAGACACAACATGATGACCTTAGGCTTCGTGTCTGTCCCACAACCTCCAATATGTCATTAGAGTCAAAAAACGAGACGTCTTCAGAAGTTAGGTTCTTTGTCCCAGCTGAGTGACTACCAGGCTTCTGCAGCACTTAATTGTATGCTGAGGAGGCAATGCATTCATTTGATTCAGGTGTGCTGGTGCAGGGATTACATCTAAAACATGAAGGACATTGTCCAAATTGGTCCGTCGTCCATAAAAAGGGAATTTAAGATGTTTCTGTGTGTCTGATGGCTGATGCACCACCGTTTTTTTTAATGCTGAGGGTAAAAATCAGGGGATGGGTGAGGGTTGAGGCCTTTCTTTTCCATTTACCACAGTTCTTGTTCTTTTCCCACTGCACTTTGCATTCCTGAACATCTTACTCACCATTAGAGTGTGCGTCAGCATGCCCTGCCTCCCCAGTCCTGCAGCTCATATGCACACATGTACAGTACAGGGCATTATTGGTGTAACTGTTACAGAAACTTTGATACAAGGTCAGTTTTTCCCTCCTCTGGTCCATCTTTTTTTTTTTCTTTAACTGAGCATCAAACATCCAGAAGTTCTGGGTCCAGCTCCTAAAAAAATACATTTGAGGCTTTTGGGAGTGTATTTATGCTGTTATAAATGGGCTGTCAGAGTGTCAGGGTTAGGTCAACAGCTCTGAGGGTTATTCATTAATCAGCACCAGCCTGATTTAGGTGGGCTAAGCTGCCTGGGACCCTTCAAAGTGTGATGCCACAAGGAAGAAGAGGTCAGAAAAACCTGCTAGCTCTTTTTTTTTGCTCTCACCATCCTCGCTTCTTTTTCACCAATATTTGTTACGTCTGATATCAATCAGCACTGTCATCAATCACAAGCTCTTTTCAATGAAGCAGCAACAACAAACAGAAAACATGTAATTGATGGAGAAGTGCAAAAATATAAGCACTTTGTCAGGAGTAGAAAATACAAAAACTAAATAAACCTTTCTCGCTCTTTCCAAACAACTCATATATGGGTTGCGATATTTTTTTTAGTTTCGTTTTCTCAGGCATCACGAGTTATCAGAACCACCATCTGTGAGTTTTGGAAGCTTTATTTTGTGCTTTTTCTGATGCCTTTTTTATTGTGCAGCTGCTGTCATTCTAGCTCAAATTTTGTCAAAATGTACAAGTTTAGACTTCTAATTCTTATCAGGCACAACTAAAGCATCCAATTTGTTCTTCAAAAAACAGATTGTTCAAGAAACGGTGGAGCAGGACAGATGTTGAAAATGTGATTTCTTTAAAACGACTTGTGGTTTATGTTTAGACTGAGAGAACCTTCCTGGCTGCAAATGCTGTCAAATAGTCTGAGTATTTAAAAATGATGACAGGAAGTTGGAAGGGTTTTATATGTTGCAATAGCTGCACTCTAACTGGTTTCACAACAACAGACTATATGTGCTGAAACAAAGACGTGAGACTTTTTCTCTGCCATTTTATGTTTGTCTTTCCATCACAAGGGTTGGTGTTCATGAGCAAATGGTTTCATAAAATTATCAAATCAAATCTTATTTGCAGCAAGGCATTTCAAAGTGCTCTTACATCATAAAAACACAAAAACACAGTCAGAAACATTACATTTTGTCATCATTACACATCAGATTATTGATTAATGTTTCATGATTATGTCTCAAAAGCAACTCTAAACAGCTGAGTTTTTAATCCAGATTTAAAGGAACTCAGTGTTTTGGCTGTTTTGCAGTTTTCTGGAAGTTTGTTCCAGGTTTGTGTTCATGGAAGCTGAATGCTGCTTCTCCATGTTTGGTCATCAGATTGGCTGTAATGAGTCTGTCATCTCTGGCAGGACACCTTTTGTTTCCCGGTGAGGAAACTAATTCACCAAGCAGTTTCCTCATCATTTCCAACGGTGTGATCAACACAAACGACACCTCACTTTGACTGCATCGCTAAAACAGAGTTGCTTGGTTCACGTATTAAATGTGTTCCTGATGTCAACAAATCAACCAAATCTGATAAAACACCTGGTTTTTGTGTGATCTTGTGTGTGCATGTTTTATATTTTCATTTCACATTTATGTTGGCAGTGGTCATGTAGCGAACTTTGACTGTTCTGATAGGTGGTCTGACATCTTTCGGCTCCAGTGAATGTTTTGATCTCCGTTTAAGAGGAACACTCCCTCAATATCACATTCTCTTTTAAAAGGTGATTTTCCTGCTGACTTTTAACAAATGCACAATATGTCTCTTCCTTTCTTCCACATCTTCCCACCCGATGAATTGGATTTGTCCAACTGGAGGGGATTCAAACACCTGCTATCACGTAGTTCAATAAGCAGCGTGTCGACAGTCACACTGCCTAAAAAGAGCAGTAGGAACTCTCAGCTACCAGAGTGTCATTAGTAGTTTCTGTAAACAGTTCTCCTTATCATAATGCTTCCAGTTACTCCTTGTTGCGCATTCTCCGTTACTCAACTTCATTCTACAATAAGTAGAACTGGGAGTTATGGGAGTTGGAACTGGCTCAGCTCCCACAAGGGTCCATCGCTCACCCTAAGAGCAAAACTCTGCTTACCTCTCATGTTACACCACCGCTGAGATTAGTTATCAATATGACAACTTACCAATAAACATTTTGCGCCCACATTAAGCTCCCAAGTAACCACTACTACCAATCAACAAGTAAGAATTATTCCTCGTTATCTCATCATACTTCTACGTCTTCAGATGTTCACTATACCTCAAATCAAGCTGCAGCTATTCAAAACTTTACAGTTTGATAAATATCAGCATCATACGCTTGATGTTTTAGTGAATCCACACCAAAACTTTTACAACATGACACCGGTGACCTGCTATCCCCCCCTCACCCCCCCCCTTTTTTTTTTACAGATGACTTTGTTTCAAACAGTACATAAAAGGACAAAAAAGGAATAACTCATCTCCTCCCATCCTTTTCATTTGGCTCCAATGCAAGAGGTCAGACCTATCTCACACTGTAAAGTACCAAAGGGACCAAGAAATCTTTTATTTAAACTACAAACAAAACAATGACTCAACATATCACAGGAAAAAAAAGAAAGAAAGAAAACGTGGATTCCAACTTCTTAGGTTATGAGTGGAGAAGATAAAGCTCTTGGAGGAGCCAAGAGAAACATGCTGAATGTAAGAAAAAAAAACATGGTCAGGAAAAATATTTGTATTTTATTACACTTTTTTGTCTCCTTTTTCTAATAAACAAAGACCAAATGGTACCTTAAAAATTTGGTGATTTTTTTTTTTTTTTTTTTTTTTTTTTAGGATGCCTGACAATTTGATTTCATTTGATTTGAGTTTTTGACTTTCTGAGTGAATGGCCGCTCATTCAAAAATTAAGAAAGGACAGTTTAATAACATTTTTTGAGTTGGGGCAACTTTAAATTCTGGTTTGATCTGGCTCTTGTTAAAATGTTTGACAAAGCAACAAATGATTTTTTTTATTAATTATTTAAAATTGGATAAAACCTTTAAAGAAATCTACATTTATTGTAGGATACTAATAATCCATTAGGCAAGCTTGAGAAAAGCCAGTCTCTTTAGAAAAGCTCTAAAATGACTCAATCCAAACTTTGAAAGTCAGTTTAAGTAAATTCATATAACATATGACCTGTTTACCTGCAGTTTATGCTACAAAAACAAAAAAACAAAAAAAAATGGTGAACCCTCCAGGTAATTCCGCACCCTGGGGAGAGAGCCATATTGCCTACATCAAAAATTGCTGCAAAACTTTATGAATAATTTATGAATCCACTGACACGAACAAACAGATGAAATTATTGGTTATATAAAGTCATTCAGACCGAAATTACCAGAGTGCAAAATGCCCGAGGGGCATATGTGTTGGGACAAGTGTGGTGGCAATAACATGGCATAGTAATAACTTGTTCTCTGGTTAAGCTAAGCAATTATTCAAGATCCTTTTATTTTGAGAATCAACAGAATGACCATGACCAAATACGTAACCACAGTTTGGCACATCTCTTTCAAAACAGTTCATTTTGACACGCAGAGTGTTTGTACCTCCTGACTCACAACTGAAAGGAATAAACATTTCAGGGAAGATCCCGCCTCAGCTGGAGCAGCGAGGAAGAGGAGGAGGAGGAGGGTGTGCTGAGTTATCCAGACTGAGAAGTCGCTGTACGCAAAGGGAAACAGAAAACTTCCACAAGAGGATTCACTCTGGATCTTTTCGGGATAATAATGAACTATACGACGCTCGTGTGTGCACAAGTTCAAAATACGGACTTTTGACTTCACTTTGGACCGGAGCCACGTTTTAAAATTTACTGCAGTTCGCACAGACATTCTGCAAATCTCGCTGCTCTACTGCGATTTAGGCATTTAGAAAGGTAAGGTTGTTCCCGAAAAATAAAGCCTGATAGTGGAATAAATAAATAAATGTTTATATGCTGTGATGTGTGACTATATTATCTGAGCGCACTTCTGGAAAACTTTGGACACGTTCTTAAAGATGTGGTGTTTTTCTCCCCAAGAGAAAAACCTGTTTTGAACAGTTTTTTTATTTTTTTCCCCACCACGCTGATTTAGCTTCAATAATAATTTATTAATTTAATGTAACATAAAATAGATAAAAAAAAATAACAAAGTGAGGATATTTGATGCTGCTTGTGTCTCCTTTTTCAGCTTTTTAGGTCAGACTTGTTTAGATTTTAATGACTCTCACACCTAAGCTGCATTGGTTAAAATATTAAATTTCTGCAGCAGTAAGGCACTGTTTTCTTAAATTAATCCCTTCACACTCCTTGTCCAATTGAATGGATATGTTATTTTTCTGGGCTTAAACAGAACTATATATATATATATATATATATATATATATATATATATATATATATATATATATATATATATATATATATATAGAGAGAGAGAGAGAGAGAGAGAGAGAGAGAGAGAGAGAGAGAGAGAGGAGTAAGTATCTGTTTTCCATCAAAAATATTAATTCATGTTCATAGTAATATAGAAAAAGTGCTCTCAGTATAATTTGAAGTATTTCTAGTAGAAATGTTTTACAAAGTATCTTCAAATTCTATTTAAATCAGGAGCTTGACCATGTTATCAAATGCTTAATTATTCAGTGTTACTGTCTATAAGCATGTTATGGCCAAGTTGGGATTTAAGAATTATTTTATGCTATTTAATTTTTTTCAGAGATGAAGTATAAACTCTCAAATTTCCCTGACCCAGTTATAGAGAGATAATTAATCTAGGATGCTCGGATTTAGGAAATAAGCCATTGCCCGGTTTTATGAAAGAGTCTCATCGAGAGGTGGTCAAGCTGTACGGCGAATCAATGGGTGATGTTGTCCTGCCAGATCAAATAGTCAATCTGTACCGCACAAAATCTGGGGGGGAGCAGCGGGGGAATCAGTGACCACCAGATGCAGGAAGCCAGACTGCACAGGAAAAACACACTTCTACTGTAACAAATGTAAAATCCACCTGTGCTTCGTCCCACGCTGAAACTGCTTCAAGGTTTCTCTCAAAAAGTTAGACTACATGAAAATACCCATAAAGCTGATGCTTTGATAACTGTGTCATCCGCTGTTACATGTTTAGCAGTACGGTTCATAAAAGCATGCCAGTGCATTTAAAAGTTCAATTATACATGAATAAAGACAAAACTAGACTTTGTATGATCTATTCTGACATTTTCACAACAAATATGCAGACATTCAGTTTCAAAGGTTGAGCTCACACCTGATTACTTGTGACATGAAGTCTATATGAAAAGTATAGATTTTGTTACCTGCATTTTAATGACATAATTTAGTCATAATGTCCATTATAATGAATATCAGAAAAGCATATACAAACATGAGGTAGGTTTCCCTGTTATTTATATGATCAAGAGGAGTACAAATGTTTTGGCTCACTAGAAAAACATCAGGTCTGAAGAGTTTTATTGACAGGTTTTCTTTACTTAAATTGATATGTTTTAATAAAAAGGATATTGTAAAAAAAAAACACATAAAAACAACAACTCTGTTTTATGACTAATTTTGGCCTGTTTGGCAGGTCTGTGGTGTGATGGCTGATGTGACACTTCCAGGGTGAGCAGCTCCTGTTTCCAGTGCTGTGACGCCCTCTGCTGTGCGGCCGAGGAAGATTCAGGACTGGGAAAGCCAGGATGGAGAACATTATCAAGGAGGGGATGGACACTGTGATCATCAACCACTACAACCACTCGGGGAAGTTGGACCGACCTCGCAACGGGGGCGTCTGCAAGATGGTGTTCCTGCTAATCATCTGCATGCTCATCATTCTGGAGAACATTATGGTTCTGCTCGCTATCTGGAGGAACAAGCGCTTCCACAGCCGAATGTACTTGCTCATTGGAAACCTGGCGCTGTCTGACCTTCTGGCCGGTGTGGCCTACGTGGTAAATATCTTTACCTCGGGGAGTAAGACCTTCTACCTGACGCCACAGCAATGGCTGGCCAGAGAGGGAAGCATGTTTGTAGCCCTCAGCGCCTCCACCTTCAGCCTCCTGGCCATTGGCATTGAGAGGCATATGACGATGGTGCGTCTGCGGCCCAATGAAACAACCGGACGAGGAAGACTCCTGGTAATGTTGGCAGCATGCTGGGTTGTGTCTGTGCTGCTCGGGGCCCTGCCCAGTCTGGGCTGGAACTGCCTGAACAATCTGGATTCCTGCTCCACAGTTCTGCCACTGTACGCTGAAAGCTACATCGCCTTCTGCATTAGTGTCTTCAGCGCGCTGCTGGTTGCTATCATCATTCTCTACATAAGGATTTACCGTCTGGTGACCTCCAGCGGCCGCAGGGTGAGCAGCCGGCCCTCAGACTGCTCTCTGGTCCTGCTGCGGACGGTTGTGATTGTTCTTGGGGTGTTTGTCGTTTGCTGGACCCCATTGTTCGTTCTGCTCCTGCTCGATGTCGGCTGCAGCCCGCAAAGGTGCGAGGTCCTCTACAAGGTGGACTGGTTCATCGCCCTGGCTGTGCTCAACTCTGCCCTCAATCCTCTGATATACACACTGTCCAGCAGGGAGATGAGAGGAGCTTTCTATAATTTACTTTGCTGCTCTCAAACCACCATGGAGCCATGTGGGTCGCCTGCGTTGGGTAACCCTCCCCTAGGCACCATTATCCCCACACTGGAAAACAGCAGGACCAGTTTGGGTGGAGGTGGAGGCAGTGGCACTGGCAAGTCTGCTCTAAAGAGTCCTGCACCCACAAACTCCGACAATAAACATGCGGATCCTTCTCCCACTACAGTGCTTCACCCGACGGGGCCGGCGGACCTGCTCTCAGCCGTGCTTGTGAAGGCGGGGGCACTGCCGTCCCTCAGCAAGTTCTGAGTGGTGTCACCTAAAAAATAGACTAGTATCAGAGACATTACTTCACTATCAGCCACTTTTGGCTTGTTTACTATTGCTCATGTAGCTTATGAAACTTAGTTCGAACGGAGAAAATCACGACGGTTGCTCAGACTACAATAAAAAAAAAAGCCTTGTAAGCCGCTACTAACACACATGGTTATAAATATCAAAAACCAAAACAGTGAACAAAATATAAGTTTGATTTTCACAGTTCTTAAAGTTAAGTAACATTTCTAACCATCAGATTCAACAGGAAAGTGTCATGCATGTACTGATCCAATCTCTTCATCATGCTTAGTGAACAGGCACAGGTCACAGCACATTTTACTCACTTTTCACAATATTTATTCATCATTTCGTCACGAGCCAGCAGCATTCAAATGGTGGTACTTTTTAAATGTTGTTTAAAGAATTTTTTAGAACATCTGAGTTTTTCATCACTTTTAAATTCTTTACTATTAACTTTTATTGAAGAAGAGGCTTGTATGTATTCCCTACACTGTTACCCTATATGTGTTTTTTGTTTGTTTGTTTCATCCGTTTACTTAAGCCTATTCTCAGAACCTGAGGGCTGTTTCACAAAACCTGGATAGCGGATTAAGCCAGGAGTTTCCAGATATCCTGGCTTAATTAAGCTTAGATTTGGTTTCACAAAAGCAGTAACTCATAAGTTATCATGGTGAAGCTAACCTGCTCCAGACCAGGCTAACAGCCAGGCTTCATAGGTTATAACGTCTTTTTAGTTAAGGATGGTTTCGAAATGTATATTTTGGGCCAATTACGAAACTCAATTGATCCGCTATAACTTGCTACTCTAGCAACAGGGTTTGTATTGAGCACGAAGAAATCTGGTCTCTTGAAGAAATCTGTGGACGCGCATTCACCTGAATAACTTAGGTCTGTCTCGACATGCAGTAGCTCCACCTCCTGAGCCTGGTTTGGTCTTCGTGAAACAGATAAACTGATGGCGCTACATGAAGCCTGACTTTATTTCTTATCCCGGATTTTGTGAAACAGTCCTCTGGAGGTCACTTTCCTGGAAGTTTCGTTAAACGAACTGGGTAATTTCCCAGCTAAGGTTGCATTATGGAGATCACCACCTTTCAAACATGTTGGCTACTTCTTTTAGGTATTTTTACCTAACTTACAATTTTCTACTTTACTAGTGATCTAACTATTAGCTACTTTCCAGGAAAGGTTTCTGGCATGCTCTGGAGAGTAACATCTGCGGTCCTGGTAAGTACTTTATAGGTTTTGGGGAAAGTGTCCAGTAAGTTCCTTTAAAATCCTCTTGAATTACCTGGTAAGCTTCTGGAAAGTATTTGAAAGTAAATGGTAAGTTCATTGAATGTAAGAGCTGTATTATGTAGTTCTACCAACCATTATGGTACTTGGACTTTATTTTACTTTTTTACCTTTATTGTAGTAATTTGTTGTGCACTATGGGCGAGAAAAGTATTGCCAGACTAGCAGCTCCATGAGGCTGTGATGAGTTTTACATACATAAAAAATGTGGATACAATTTTTTTAGATTCCTGACTTATTTTCAGGGGGAACTTGAGGATCTTTAATGCTTACCTTGTCACCAGATGTGTGTACTCCTCCTGCAGTCTGCAAGCAGTATTTTCATAACCACATCTAAAGATACTTGCTTCTCACCAGCACACGCAGAAACCACTCATATATTTATATATATCACTTAACCACTTATGAATGAGAATGTTGGATGTGAATTATTTAATGATAGTAGACTGTTGTGGGTGATGTAGTGTCTGATAAGGCAATAGAAAAACAAATAAAATTCTATTATCTTTTATCAAGTTGATTTTTTTTTTTTTTTACATTTTGCTCTCTCAAGCTGTGTGCGCTCATCTTAGTGAGTTGCCCACACCTTTTTGTTGCCATGTTTCTGGATATTTTCTCATCGGAATTTGATAGAAATTATTTTGAACCGCATGGTTTCCTAACGTCGACTTAAACCTGAACATGACAGTGTTCTTTTATGAAGCTGAAGGTGGCAGCAACAGCACAAACACCAGCTTTTTCGGCCAACTCTTTCCTCTTCCTCCGTTTGGTCCTCCTCATCTTCATTACCTCTATCAATTTCTAAAATTTCAAAGCGCTCCGGTTCAATGTGAAAAGGCTCAAAGACGTTGCGCATCGCTGTTCTAACTGGACGGAGCTAGCACCTCATTTAAGTAACATTTTTAAATCCTGAAAAGCCTACAGTATTATTGCTGTATTGCTTTTACATCTAAAATAAATATTTCTTGAATAACGTCTACTTGATTAATCGTCGATTTAATCTGGGCTTTGAGAATCTCAGTTTAGTTGTATCATGTTTTCCATTCTCAGGCCAGTTTTGTGTAATTACTTTGTGGAAACACCCTGTCGTGTTTTTGCTCTGTTGAGTTAAGGAGGTGAGCGTCCCTTATTTTTCCACCCACTTTGTGCGGGTGGCAGCACCGTGATGCTACCACCATCACACATGACCGTACAAAGTCTCATCCTGACAGCTTTGTCTGAAACTTTGACATCACTGGGTGTGCTAACTGGACAGAGCAAATAGACTATTGCACTGGTTTTTGAAAGCAAGCAAACATTAGTTTCTGGAATGGTTTTAATCTTAAGACTATTGAGAATTTGCAAACTGTGTTTAAAAGTTGGGTCCCTCTATCAAAATCTTTCTATTTAAAGGAACTGCACCAAAAAGCTTTTGGTCATTCTGCAACTTACCAAAAGGCATTTCAATCATATTTTGGTGGCGGTATATATTTATATTTGAATTATAGGTTTTATTTTTAATTTTTACCCTTCGGAAGTTAGAGAAAACCCAAATGTAAATTTAAAATTGTGCACTTAAATCTTTTTTTTTTCTTTTTAATCAAAGTCGTTAGTTCTTAAGTACTTTCGCCCAGGAAATAAAAGCGTTTTAAATTCAAAGTCCAAAATGAATATGCAGGTAAACTTCTCAGTGGCGCTGCAGATGTTAGCTCATACTAATGCACCTCATGAAAACTTAGACGAAACATCAGTCATGTATATTATTATAGAAATTATTCAGCTTCATTAATTGCTTCCCAGTAGGAGGAGAAAAAAAAAAACTCATTAGATCTAACCTTCTGCACTCCTTTATGAAACATCCTAATGTAAAACTGATTGATGCTCTCATATTGCCTTTCATTGCCAGACCGGGGTCAGACAGGAATGAATAATGCAGAGAAATTCCTGATATTATTACTGGCAGTTTCCAGACAGTCAGGCCACTTATTAATTAGTCATGAAGGCGATATTTCATGAAACCACCTCGAAGGAAATATGTGCCGTCATCGATTAAATTCATTTGAGCTCATTCACAGGTTAAATGATTCAGTGATGTGAAAGAATTTCTTAAAAGAGCATCACATCAAAAATCCATTGAAAGATTCAGCTTTTTATTTTTTTTTTTACTAAAATTCAGCAAAAAAAAAAAAAAAGAAAAAAGAAAAACATCCAGCTTCACTGAAGGTTGGATTAAACTGAACTGATCAGAGAGCTGATTAGGAAAGAGTCTGCTGCACACAGCACGATGCGCTGTGAAGATCAGACAGAGCCGACAGACTGGCATTTCATGCTCACCTCCACTAAAGGATGTGTCTCGGCTCCGCACCTCCGATACTGATGAGAAACGACAGCGAGGATGCAACACCAGCAGAGCATTTCCAGCTTAAAGGTCACTGACTTCTTCCTGTCAGAAATGTTTGAACACTCTTTCCCGAATCAACCAGGGAGGACGGCGGCCTCGTGTCACGCAGAGCATTTGAAAATACCAAAATGCTGAACAGAGTCGATTCGTGGCCATTAAATCCATCATTTCCTGCTTTCTTCTTTATTAGTTTTTTTTTCCTTGCCAATGAACTCTTTATTAATAACTTTGTGGTTATTATTGTTTAAACAATATAAGAAAAATTGATACATTTCAGGTTTAGGAATTGTTTTAGTGAACTTTTTTTTTTCTTTTTTTTTAAGCAAATTCATCAAAAAAAAAAAAGCACACAAAATATGGATTGTTAAGTTTAGTTTTTTCCTGTAAAAAATATATATTTTAAAAGATGGCATCAGAAAACATCCACTCCTGCCTCGATTAATCATCCATGATCAGATTCTGGGGGTACCTGGAGAATCCCAAACATCCCTCTCCTCTCAAAACACTCTCCAGATCTTTCTTAGGTTAATCTCTCAGAGGTAAATTTATCTCCTGATTTATCTCCTCCCGTTTCCAGTGAGGTCAAGAGGGTGGCCTCTTACATGCTTTACTTTTGTAGTTTTGCTTTTTGTCTTGGTATTCAAAATTGAATCAAATTCTAAATGTCAGCTGAGTTAAGGTCTAGGACCTGAGGAGTCACACAGCATGTGACTTACCAGCATAAAAGAGATCATCTCTGTCATGCATGTTTTATCAACGTCTTTGTATCACACAGGAAAATGCCATCTGGAAAATGTCTAATATGTCTTTCCAACAAAAGAAGCATATGATTCGTCTTATTATAGTGAATGACCTAAAGACAAAAAACTGAAAATACGCAGCGTACGTATTTTTTTAATAGAACAATTCTTTGACATTGATGTTTATTCTGTCATAGTTTAAAATTCAAATTTATCCAAGACCTGTGGTGAACTTTGCGCTGAATGTTTGTAAAGATAAAGGCATGAATTGAAAGTCAAAGATGAGAGGAAGTGTTAATTAAACCTAAATGTTATATTTTTGTATCCCATAATAATTTTTGTTTCCTAAATCAGACAATTTGTTTCCTTTCATTAGCAGAAACATTTTGGTTCTCTGTATCTTATTTGTGTCTATCCTCATAATTATTGCTTTCCGGTCAAAGGTTCTTTTGCCTACTGTAAATTTTAATCCCTGGACTTTATTTGTGCTGTCTTGGATCGCTCCTTTTTACAGAAACTCTCTAAATCCGTCAGGTTACTTATCTGGTACTTGGCAATTCAAAGCTTCGGCTCCATCCACAGACCTATAAATGTGCCTTCTGTAGCAGCAAACTGGAAGATTACGGTCCCTCATGGAAAAGCCTGTTTACCTGGGCTAATCCCTGAACTCTCTCATCATCATCCTCACACTATGAGGGATTTTCTTTCATGGGGCTCCAGACCAAAGGAGTAATGTGGGTCAATTTATGCATTCGTCATTTCTGAATTATCACACTAACATTTGCCACAAAGTGTCTTGTTTGAAATCTTGTGGAGGTTTTTCCCCCATATTTCCTCTCTGTGAACATTTTGTTCTTCTCCATAATGACTGAGAAGTCGGAGTGGGACGTTTCTTTCTGTGGAAAGATGTTTTTTTTTTATTTTTTATTTTTAATAAATGCGATGAATTAAGTTCCAGAGTCTCTGTAACTGATGTATTTATTGTAATTTTAGCACAACATAAGCAATGTTCATTTTTGCTGAGTAAAACCAGGAAAAACAAATTATTGGCCTTTTCTATTGTTCAAAAACTGGATATAAACTAATTCAGAATGACAAGCATTCTAATGAAATTAATATTTTTGGCTACAAATAAAAACTTTAAAATCACTTTAATCACATCTAACTGTAGTTGTGCGGGATAGTTAAATATTAGCCAGTGATTTTAAATCCTAGTGAGTTCTGGGAAGTGAGTGAGTCAGTGTGCAGCCAGATTGAAATTAAACTACTCTAGAATTGTTTGCATAACAAACATTTGACATTTAAAGCAATACAAATAGAGTCTGAATGAGTAATATTATTACCTTACTTATGCATCTACACTATATCAATTTGTGTCAAAGCTCAATCATTAACATGGAGTCTAGTTGGCTGCATATCCATTATTAAATGGGAGAAGCTATGTAGGCTTTGAAGCAAAGTGAGAGTAGTCATGAGTGAAAAGTGGGATTTTTTATTTTTTTTTTATTTTGTCAAAGCAAATGTTTTGTATTGGTGCATTATTTATGTAACCTGAAGTTCAGATTGAAACAGACACTTTGCTCATTAAAACTGAGCTAAATTTCAACAAGTGCAAACAACAAACGCTTTCTGTCAAATAGTTGTGCCACCAAAAAGAAAAGAGCTCCAGGTGGGGAGCTCGATCGCAAGAACATCGAGAAAAACCATCTAGCATATATATGAACATAAATTTTTATTTGATGTAGTATTTTGCGCTTTGACACAAATTCAATTTGTTCAATCACCTGAAGTGAACAACAAATGGCCCGTGCAATAACTGGGTCAAAAAACCTTCATAAATCATGTTAGCTAAATAGCCGTCACTAGTCCCCTTTGAGGATTTAGACATGGTGGATTTGTGTCTTTCTTTGTGCACAATGTGCATTTGCATATGACTAATGTGAACACAACAGAGGACAAGAGACTCACACCCCCGCCTGTCATCATGATCCTGGTTTTAAACCGCTGTGGGCTGAGTAAAGTGTGCTTGCGCTCGTGTGTGTGCTTTTTTTGTGTGTCAGTTTTTTTTTTTTCTTCTTTTTTGCACACAGCCACGTTTCAGCCATGTGTGTTTGAGCAACGGAACAAAGAATCCATCTGGTCCGAGCCACTGAATGTGCCAGTGTGAGACACTCTCGCTCTCAGGTCCCTTTTTTGATGCAGCCGGGAGGTGGAGTGAGAGCAGGCCGAGAGCGGAGGGAGAGGGGTCTTATTTGATTTGTCCGCTCATGCTGGGAGCCACCGAGTTGAAGCCACCCCCCCGGTCTTTGCAGCCGAGCAGTGTCACTCTCGCCCGAGGAGACGAGCTCATTCATTTTTCCTGCCTTCACCTGCACTACACTTCGCTTCAATGTAGTGT